TCTTTTTGTCACTCATGAAATACTCACCATTCTCAAGTTCAAGATCAATCTACAAAATACAGAATGATAAATCAATCCAGAGCACAATATGCAAAAGGAGAATATCAAACAATATAAGCACCTTCCAACTACTACAACCCATGCAAACAAAGACAATTAAGTGGCTCACTCCAAATTCAAGTAGCATACTAGAAAGAGCACTGATCTTATACAAAGAAAAAAATGTGAATGAATTATTCGTGTGCATGGACAGCTAACATAAGCTTAAGTTACAGGGCAGGATTGGTAACCACTAATCATCACTAACTGGCTTAAGTAACAATAAGATGCAGATGAAAGATAATTTTAACCTTACCTTGCTAGGCTGTTGAGGCGGTGGAAAGGGTGTGTACGGTTTCTTCTCCTTAGTTTGAGGCTTCTTCTGCTTGACATTCTTCCTGAAAAATAAAAAAGGGGTGATAATCAGATGAACACAATATACTTGATGCTGAAGCTCTAAAAGAAATATGATGCATGTCCTTACTTCTTGAACTTTGGGAGAAATCTATCCCAGTTTTCAGTGGCTAGAGCAGGATTTTTTGCTAGCTCACGTTTGATTAGTAGTTCCTATATAGTTAAACAATAACAATAAGCACCCAATAATCCATTTCTTGTTAACATCCCTTCAAAATAACATCAAGGAAGGGTGAAACCAATCACCTTGATGTGGTACACTGGATGCTTTACATTCTTTATGCAATCCTCTACAATCCTTCTCACTTGTTTCAGTCCCCTTCCCCTATAGTTGCCCATGGCTGCAACAGTATTTCCCTTTCATTGGGAAAGACAACAGCAATAATAAATGGTGTCAAAGGGAGGAAATCTAAAATGTACATATAAAGGTAAGAAATTATGAAAACCTGCACTAAGATGTAGCAGCCAGTCAAAATCTCAATAGCCTGTAGAACATGAAAAAATGTGTAAGCAACAAAGGGATCTATGATTATTCTGAGTTTACGGCACTAAAGGAGGCACCCATAGGAATAAGAACAGTTTTTACCTTGAGTGTAGACAAGTTAGGACCTAAAAGCCGTTCCCTCCTTTTAACAAATCGTTCCTGCAGATAGCATTATAAATAGACAGGAGGATGAGTAAAGTTCAAATAGTGAGGAAGGGCAATAAATCTCTAATTACAAAGCATATTTTCATATGGTCAGATAGCATTATAAAAGATTTTCAGGTCCATTATTTTACCTATCGAATTATACAAATTACAAGAATGGTCTTTGCACAAAGGAACATATCATAGCACAGAGAGAAGCACCTCATGATGTTGAGTAAATTAAGTCTAATCTTCAAAAGAGATCTGAAATCAAACTTGCAATGAAAAGGTGTCCTACCTTATTTCTCACAAGACCACCAATCTTAATAATATCACAGTTCATCTCATCATCAAGAATTTTGATTGCCTGCAAAAATAAGTAGTAGTAAGACCTTGAAAAAACTGCAGATTAATCTCAATTCCACTCAGATCACGAAGCTGCCACCTCGAAGTGCAACAAGGGATCATACGTCATACCTGAGGCGCAGGGACGCTCCTGGACAATAGCTTAATCAGTTCCATGGCCTTGATAATAATGAAGGGGTCCCTTGTCTTCCTGGTGGTCGAAACAGTCATGGATCCCTCCACCTACACACACAGCAAGGGAGGCTTCAGATCATTTGGTTACCACATAATAATGTCGCCACCCAATAGCAATTTAAAAAAAGGCTGATAACTCATCACGTACCAAATTGAGCTCGCACGAGATCCCGTGCTCCTTCAATGCGCCCTTCACGAGCGGCCACGCCTCCTGCAGGTACTTCTCTGCACCCAAACCAACAAATAACACCTCACGAATTCGCCTCCAATAAACTCAAATCGCATGCGTTCCATCGAGAAAATCGCGGTAGGCAGGACGGGCTGAGGAACAAATGCTTGCCTCGGTACTGGGGAAAGAGGGTGGAGAAGGAGCTGACTTCGAGCATGCCGCCCTCGTTCCAGGCAGGGTCGAACTTCTCGATCTTCCAGCGGTCGATGTTGGGGTCCTCGTCCCACGGCTTGGGCTTGTCGTGCTTCCCCTTCCGCCGCCAGTTCCTTCCCTCTGCCGCCTCGGCATCCTCCGCCACCGCCGCCGCGGCGTTCGCTTCGTTCTCCGACGCCATGGCTGAGAAGAAGAGGGGCTAGTGCCTGCTGGACCTTCGAGGAACTGGAGCAGGAAGATGAGGCGATGAGGTTAGGGTCGCCGTGCGGATTAGGGTTGATGATTCCTCCCTCCTTAGGCTGCCGCCGGCAGGGAGAAGAGAGAATGGGGATGGGCGGGGGGCGACTGGGAGAGGGCTTTGGGGGTTTTTGGGTGCGCATTATTATGGGCTTGGTGGGCTTTGGCGGCGTTTTTACGATGAGGCCACCACTGCGAAATCCAATGGTGCATGAATAAGTGACGGGCCGGGCAGCCCCCATTGGCCCAGCCTATGGACAAGGATCTGTCGCTGTACATCTGAAGTTCCTGGGAGTACGAGATGCTCAAAGAGTGATATTTGGACAGGTGACACTCTTTATATAATAATAAAAAGTTAAAGGAAATGCTCCAATTAAGACGTCTGGAATGGATGGACGCCACCTAGTCCTTCGCTTCCTCCTTCCTTCTGCGCTCGCGCCCCCAATCAGCGGCGGTGCGCTCCCCCACCCGGCGGCCTCCTCCCCCACCCTGACGGGCTCCTCCCCCCCCACCCGACGTCCTCAACCACCGGAAGCGCCTAAGGCCCGCGGATCCGGTGGCCCTCTCCCTACCGCAGCGAGATCCATGGAGCACAAGCAAGATCCATGGAGGTGGCGCTGGCGGTGTTGCAGGGGAGTGGGCGGCTCTGCTCCACCCCGGTGCAGCACCCTCCCCACCCCCGCGTAACCTCTCTTACCATGGCGACCGAGCTCCCCCCACCCCGGCGACCGGAATCGACTAGCCCAGTCTTCCCCTCCTCTATGTTGTATATGTATGTTTCAAGTGTTTCGGGCGTTTCAAGCTCCCCTATGTTGCGATAGTAGATCGGGGGATGTTGCTATGTTGCAATTGTTTCAAAGGCATGTTGCAAGCGTATGTTTCAAGTGTTTCAAATGTTTCAGAGGTATGTTTCATCTGTGTTTTCCAGATGCATGTTGCAAGTGTGTTTATCTGGATGTTGCATATGCTCTTCACACATACGTTGTATGTGCAAGTGTTTCCAGGTGTTTTTTTCAAGTGTTTCCGAAGCATATTTCAAGTGTTTCAACTGCTTTCAGACGTATGTTGTAACTGTTGTATTTGGATGTTTTCAAAAGTAGATCGGATATTACATCTCTCCTCCCACCTTTCTGCTGCATCGTCTCTCCCGACGTCAGCAGGGCATCCATACGACGCCGCGGCCTCCTTCCGAATCAGAGGCGTCACGCACCCTTCCCCTCTTGTCGCTCGGGCGGCGCAAGCCCCGCGTGGAGCGCAAAATGGAGTGCAGCGCGCGGACGTCCATCTACCGAAAGTTAAGTTGACCTAGAAGTATATGGATTTGGGTTTCACGGAGCCACGGAGATACTTAGATAGAAGCCCATTTCTTCTCACTTATTTAGATGCTAGGCATCTTGTGTGGTTAATAACTTGATATTAGAAATTTAACCTTCTGTTGCGCCATGTTCACCTTTATCTCGATCATAAAGCTTTATTCTTTATGAGTTCTTAAACAAATAGCTTCTGCATTAAAGTTATGCCAAAAAAAAACTCTTTACAGCCTACCATTTCTTGAAAACATATGAACAACAAATGCCTCCCATCCTGTTAGTTTTAATAGTAAGGTAAGTCGATTTGATGTATAATTGTAAATTTAGACATAGTTGGAGGTCAAATTTGACCTCTAATTACAGGATACCTTTTTTACCATCCTTTGTTTTATATATCTTTCAAGATTGCATGGTTGAGTTCAAGAGAAGCAAAATTAGTTTCAAGAGACCTATTAGGAGTGACGTGTTACATTTCATAAAATTGAGTAGTCTTAACTGGCAAATTTTTGAAATTTTTACATGTGTTTCTTTCCGAGCTCTCAGCTTGTAAGTCTACACTCCTCACCAATATATTAATCATAAACTTCAGATTCAGAAGTACATTTCAGAACATCTATCTGTCTATATTAATCATTATATTGTTTCGCTGAAAGTTAAAAGCCAATTGTGAGCAAAAACTGTACCAATACAATTCAAATGCTCGATAGCCTAAAAAGGTTGTAGGTTTCATATTTGTGATTTTGTGATCCCATACGCGATGTCAATGGAAGCTCTATACCAATCAGCTATGTAAACTTCTCCATTTTATCTTCCAAACGAAAATGTAGATCGTCTAATCTGTTAATATGTGCAATATCTTTGCTATTAGCTAGCTCACGGAAGATAAGAAATACAAATGTGAATATATTGAATTATTTCTCTTAGCTTGTACTATTTTTACTATACTCGCGTAGTCATAACTACCTGAATTACATAGGCTATTAAATTGATGAACCATTAACTATCAAAATATTGACATAAACCAACGCCACAATCCTCCTGTCATTGCTTCCTCAATTTTAAGATATATCCCTAAGTACTTCAATGAAACTCTTTCTCGTCCGGTTACTCTTTATGCTTTTCTCGAGTTCAGACTAAACTAGTCCAAGCACAAGAGATATGTGGATTGGTTTGCTCCAATGGATGTGCATGGGCTGGATCCAACAATGGCGCACAGCAATGCCGCGCCTAGTTTCTAGTTCGGACAAAATCCAAGCTCGATCAAGATTTACTCATCCGTTTCAAATAGGAAAAAAATAATGTTTATAAATTTTATATACAAGTTTAGTACATACAACCCTTGTACCAATAAATATGTATATAGTAAGAGAAATTAATAGTCAAAATCTATTTCGTTTGACTTTTTCATGCTCAGAATACGGACGAGTATCTTTGACCATCTTCCGTGGTTTTATCTTTGACCATGCATCTTCCGTCGTTTCAGGTCGATCACAATGACAGTGATATTGTCCTCGCTCCCTCTCGACAGAGCTAGCCTCACAAGACATTCCGCGGCTGCTTGTGAAGCAGGGTCGCTCTCGCTTATTGTCGGTTTACCACCTTCACCGAAACACGTGCCGTTATTTTTCTTGTGCCACCGAAGGATATGTAAGCGAGCAGCTCTGCATGCATCCTCATTTGAGATGACATCCCACAGCCCATCGCTCGCTAGAATCAGGCAGTCGTCGCCATTTGTGCGAGGAACGACTCTCACTTCTGGCTTTGGAATGATAAATGGTTTTATGTATCTGTCCCCTGCATGGCAATCGAAATTTCCAGTTGATGTTAGCAACGGATGGTTTGTGTACCTTGAGACAATTAAATGACATCCAGTGCACAGAGAAATTTGTTGAACCGAAAGGCACAATTTCATTTCCATGGTTGAACTGAAGTGAAACTGTCCCAATTTATATTAATGGAAGTGTTTTCGGTGGGTGGAGCCACATGCCCAGATGCGTCGACAAACAAAACTAATATCCAGTAGTAGTATTAGCCATTGTCGAAACATCCAGAGCCAATTGCTCAAATCACACCATAAGCATACATAGTGCTGCTGGCTTTGTTCCTTGGAAACAGAAAGACGTTTCTGCTTGTATCTTCTTAACCACATCCGCAAACTTCGTCTGAATAATGCTTTCACAAAATGAATTTGGGGATTGTTTCAGTATAAATACATGAGATTATAAGTCTTAAAATCAGAGTGGAGCATGTTGGGGCGGTCCAAGAGGCAGAGGTACTGCTGCCGGCCGAGAACAGAGTCGACATGCGCGCGCGGCTCAACTGCCCGACTACTGGACGCGACTCTGGCCTCTGGGTTTCACTTATGGGAAGGGAGGTTGGGCAAGGATGTTTTTTTTTCTGTCTCAGCCCCTAATATGGTTTGGAGTTATTTTTAGGGACTCTACTCACTTGGTACATGGTATAGCGATGGCAAAGTATGGTTTCAAATTTTCTTGCCACACTTGTCTAAGGCTATAATTATGCAAATTATGGCATAGAACCAAACAACCCCTATGCTTCTTTTTTTTGTCAAATGAAGTATCTCTTTATTTTATCTCAGTTGGTAAATATCAGATCCAACATCCTCGAAATGAATAATTAATTTGAGATCATGTACCATAAAAGCTGGTTAATTGGCGAGCTTAAGCTATGTTCAGCAGAAACTGTCTCATGCACAAATATTGCACCCAATATTCCACAAATTGGCAACATGTGTTTTAAATAAACTATAAGCATAATAAACTATAGGAATTAAGTTTAGGTTTCCATCTCATTCTGTAACTTTTTATAACAAAATAAAGGTGGATCGACATGGTCTGTTTGGTTGGATGGCTAACTACTAACCTGGTTAGAATCGAAGCCTGGGCAACCTTAGTATGCTTCCACAAAGCCAATCCCTGGTTGTTTGGTTGTTTGTGCTTTCTAAGCCTGGCTAGCCCCAAGGTATATTTGGTTGCCTGGTTTGTTTTGATACAGTCACCTCTTCTATGAATTGGTAAGGATACCCCTTAGAGGCATTTCGTCGAACAAGTGGTGGACATCCTCGACGAGCACGGCACTTGACAGCAGCAAGGCGAGAATCGCGAGCCGGGTGACCACGACGAGCAGCAGGGCTAGCACGACGAGCAGCAGGAGTTGGCAATGATCCACGAGAAGATCGATACCTCAGTCTGCAGGCCAAGTCATATGATCCTGAAGGCGAATACGTTGCAATTCAACCGGCAGAGAAGACCAAACAGCATGTACAGAAGTCAAGTAAAATAGGAGGCTCTTGATTCACTCGAAATCGAACCATCTATCAGTAGATGAAGTAATTTTTTACATAACTGAGTGTAGTGTAAACATGCACGAATTTCTCTATGGTCTTATGCAATGTTCATTGATGCATTCAGCTACATGTTGCAATGTTTGTTAGTAGATCCAGCACAAAGGATTAGAAGGCCTAAACATTCACTTACATCCAACACATTCACGTCCGCTCGAATCGTGCCTCCGCTGACGTCATCGATGGGCGAAGAGCATCTTGGACCTGATGGGCGCCGACCACAAGCGGATCCGCGACACGCTAGCCTAGTTCCTCAAGCTGGATCCACGGCGCACTCGGCAGCAGCAAGGCTGAAAGCTCTAGTTTGGTTTTGGTAAATTGATGAAACCCTAAGTGCTAACCTAGTTTATCAAAGTGATTATGAGATAGGTGGCACTACTCCAAGTGGTGAAGAAAATGAAGATCATGACATGATGATAGTGTTGCCATTGTGATAATCAAATGCTTGGACTTGAAAAAAAGAAAGAGAAAAACAAAAGGCTCAAGCAAAGGTATAAGTGGTAGGAGCCATTTTGTTTCGGTGATCAAGACACTTAGCGAGTGTGATCACATTTAGGTTCGAAAGCCGTACTATTAAGAGGGGTGGAACTGGTATTGAAATGCGGTTATCAAAGTGCCACTAGATGATCTAACTCATTGCATATGTATCTAGGATCTAGTGGAGTGCTAACACCCTTAAAAACATTTGTGAAAATATGCTAACACATGTGCACAAGGTGATACACTTGGTGGTTGGCATATTTGAGCAAGGGTAAGTAACCTCACCGGCGGAGTGTCCGCCCGTAGAGTGCGGACAGTCCGACGGCGCCACCGATGCCCTGTACAGAAAAGACAGGGTTTCACTGGAGTGACCGGACGCTGGCCTCAACTGGACCGGCGCGTCCGGTCAGTGGAAGTAGTGAAGACGCTGGCATCGGTCTTCGACCGGACGCTGGGTCACTTAGTAACTGGACGCTGGAGGGGTGCGTCCGGTCCCGCTGACGTAGCGGCGCACAGAGGAGACGTTGAGTGACCGGACGCGTTCGGTCGTGATTTTTCACGAATGGAACCTTCCTGGAAATGACCGGACGCTGGGGTCCTGCGTCCGGTCACTTCGTAGCAGCGCGTCCGGTCATAACTTAAATGTACTGATGACCGTTGAGATCGGGCGATCAGCGTTTGAAGCAGGGGCCACGTGGCATGCATCGCGCGACCAGATGCTGGGGTCCAGCGTCCGGTCGATCTGACCGGCGCGTCCGGTCGCCCCGATTTCCAGTGGACTGAGGAGCCAACGGCTCTATTTTATGGGGGCTTCTATTTAAGCCTCATGGCCGGCTCAAACTCACGCTCTTGGCCATTTGCATTGACATAGCAACCTTATGAGCTTAGCCAAAGCCCTCTCACTCATCTCCATCATTGATCCATCATCATTGTGAGATCCGGATAGAATCCAAGTGCATTGCTTGAGTGATTGCATCTAGAGGCACTTGGTATTCGTGTTTCGTCGCGGGATTCACTTGTTTTCTCTTGGTGGTTGCCACCACCTAGACGGCTTGGAGCAGCGAGGATCGTCGAGCGGAGGTTGGTGATTGTCTTCGGCTCCGATTGTGGTGATTGTGAGGGGTCTTGTGCCTTCCCCGACGGAGCGCCGAAAGGTAACTCTAGTGGATTGCTCGTGTCATTGAGTTACCTCACTTGTGGGTATGTTCTTGCGGTGTCTAATTGTGTGGATGAGGTTCGTGTAACACCTCTTAGCCGTCGAACCACCAAGTGTTGGTCGACACAACGGGGACTAGCGTGCCGGCAGGCACGTGAACCTCGGAAGAAAAAATTGGTTGTCTCTTACCCTTTGGTATTCTCCCGGTGATTGATTTAGTATTCATCTTGTGATTGGTTCACTCCTCTACACGGCGGTATAATCACCCTACTCACTTATTTATATTCTTGCAAACTAGTTGTAGCAAGCTCTTTAGTGTAACTAGAATTGAGAGCTTGCTTTGTAGTTTAAGTTCATCTAGTGGAGTTCTTTAGTGTAGCAAGTGTGAGAGCTCTTTGTGAGTAGTAACATAGCAAATTGTGTGTTTTGTGATCATAACAACTAAAATTATTGGATAGGTGGCTTGCAACCCGTGTAGAGTTAGAGCAAGTTTGCATTTCGCTATTTGTTATACTAATCAAATTGCTCTAGTTGATTTGTAGATTTTTAAATAGGCTATTCACCCTACTCTAGCCATATTAGGACCTTTCAAAGGCTCCGCGACATCATCTCCCTGCTGCTCTTCGGCCTCGAGCGGAGCCCGCTCCAGGACGCGCTCGCCGGCGACTTCCCCTGGTGGAAAGCAGCCTTTCCCAACGCCCGCGGGACTCCCGCTCTGCCACCACGGGAGCTCGCCGTCGAAGGGGAGCTCACCAGCAAAGGTGGAAAGCGGCCTTTCCCAACGCCTGTCGGAGCATGGCCACCTCGCGAGCTCACCGTCGAGCGCCATGGGATCCTCTGAGTTGGTGGCCGGAGCACGCTAGCGTCGTCGTCCTCCTCGAATCGAGCCTCCATTGTCGAGCGTCCGCTCCCAGATCTCCGCGTTGTGACCGGGAGATGATGTGACGGGAGCCAGAGCGTTGGCTTAAGCCAGGCTCCCGAAAAACGGATCCCCGTCTCATTTTTCCAGGGCCAGACCAGCACCTCTAAAGTGACTTACTTGGCCTAACTTCGGCCTAACTTCAGGCTATTTACAGGCAACCAAACAGCTGAAAATTAGCTTTGGGGTTAGTCACCCAACCACACAAACAGCCCTATAATCGCTGTCCTGTAATCCTGTCCTGTCCTGTCCTGTCCGGCTTGGGCATACTGTACGTGAAGCAATTCTGTACTACTACTTACCGATTGACCGTGACATAGCAAGTACGCCAGCGACTCGATGACCATGCCAGTTGACGATGTGCCCTCCCGCGGCCTCAATCCTTGCATGCTCATCTTCCCTGTCGGGCTGAACCAGCAAAAAGCATACTACTATAAGACACACAGTTTCACCGTCACTGAAATGCTGCATAACGACTTAAACTGAATTATTAGTACGTAAAATTAATTAAGGGCAATTAACGAGCAGTAGATTGTCTACGTACTTTGTGATCGACGGACAGAGCCATGGGCTCCTTCCCGCGGCAGAGCACCACGCGTGAATCTCCGCAGTTGGCAACTATGACATGAGAAGAGCAGACAAGCGCGACAACGGCGGTGGAGCCGACGTCGTCAGCGGCAACTGGTTCGCGTCGGGCCTCGCTGACGCCGTCAGCGAACATAAACCTGCTTGCCTCCCCCGACACCTCGTCGTCCACCCTCTGGAAACACTCGCAAAAGGCCTTCTCCCAGAGCTCCTGGATGCCCCCCAGCTCCCCCGATCCCGATAGCCCCCTCGCGCCCGCGGCTCTGCTCAGCGCCTCCCTCAGCACGACGTGGATCCTGTCCCCGCAGTAGTTGGCCACCTATATAGGAGTAGTAGACAAACAAACAACGCAGCACCACCGGTCACCGGAGAATTAATTAATGGCGACTGATGACTGAGTGGAGTGATATTGACTTGAATGCAAGCATGCAGGCCGGACCTCGGAACCGCCGTGCCCGTCGTACACGCCGAACAGGTGCATGGCGGCGGAGGCGTCGACGCCGACCCGCCCGAGCGCGTCCAGCTTGCGCTCGCTCGCAAGCATCCGCACCGGCACATCGGCGAAGGGCGGCACGGCGGCGCACGCGTCCTCCATCGCTTTGCGGTGGCCGCGCGTAGTGGCGCAACCCCACAACGGCACGCACTCGCTCCTCCGCTTGCCGCCCAGCCCGGCGGCGGCGCGGGCACTACCGTCAGGCTCGGCCCCACCGGCGCGTCCCACCGGGCGCGCGGCCCCGGCGTCGCCGTCGCAAGCCGTCGCCATCGCAAAACGTAACGGCCCTGCCGAAGCCGAACTGCTCCAACGAGGCAACGACCGCTCCCGCTCCCGCTCCCGCCCGCGTAGTCAGGACTTAGGAGGAAAAATGGACCAAACAAGACGTGCGAGTGCGACAGACCGAGAGAGGGAAAAGCCGCCAGGGGACCCTGGTGCAGGTGGGGTGGGCGCGGGCGCTCGTCGAACTGGATGGACCTCGGTCTCGGGTCCAGGACATTGTAGCTTTGGTACAGTATATATACAGAGAGAAACACGCCGCACAGTGCCCTGCGTACTTGTGATGTTGCACGAACACAGATAACGGCTGAAAGATTAGGCGTGAAGGAATGATGACCCAGCTACAAGTGACTCACTGTCGCAGGTAGAAATCGCAGCGACCATTGTTGTTCGTCGGGTGTCAGTGATCTGGTGACTCGGATGGTTTCAAGAACACATAGAAGACACAGCGATGTATCTTGTTTCCGGACGTCCAGCAGTAGTAGTTCTTTGTATTCAAGAGCACCCAATCGGAGGGGGAGGGGGGGGGATTTGGAAGAGGATCGTTCGGTGCTATCCTAGGCTTGTCAGCGGTGAGGTTTCTTCCTCGGCGATGGAGAAGAATATGGTGGGGGAGGAGCTCTCGGTCATGGGCGGCGCCAGGGGTATGCCCCAGTATTTCATGGAATACCCATGATTTTTGTGACAAACACAAATATATGTATACATGTATAATGATACAACATATTAGTTTGTTGAATGTTGCAAATATGTAGCCCATAAGCCCAGTAGAACAACTAGTAGCAGCAGCCCACGAACTTAGAAAGACAGAAACCCCATCCACCGTACTCCTGTCCCGGTCTCCTGCTCCCGTCTGTCGCTCGTATCGATCGGAAGGGCGGCGGCTGCACCGGCGGGCGGCGACACGGCAAGTCGGCTCTCCCCCTCGGCCCTTCAGCCCTCGTCCGGTCGACCCCTCGCCCATCGGCCCTCTGGCAGTCGGGAACGCAGCATCACCTTACGCCCGGCACTCCTCTGGCGGCGGCGGTCAGTGGTCTTTGCAGGCTCCCCCTCGGCTCCGGTGTCCAGGTGTCCGACCCTCCCCCTCGGCACCTCTCTCATCTACGGCTTGAAGCAACAGCACGACGAACACAAAAGACCCTAGATCCATTCTTGATTTTTTTATTGCGATCCATTCTTATTCTTCAGAGTAAGAATTGAAGGTTTCTTTTTTTTTGCATTGTGTTCTTTTTTTTTGAAAGAAATGTTGCATTGTTTTTCTTGTAACGTAGATAAAGAACTTATACTTTGATTATTACCAGGGGTGACACCAGGTTCACTCTGCCTGGTGCCTTGTTACCAGGGTAAAAAAATAATTTATCTAGCATATATTTTAAGAAAATTATATATATACTACTTGAGCTGCGCACCAGAATCAATTTTGTACTGATTTTATCCCTTATTACTATTGCATATGCATTAGAAATTTTTTGTACTTAGAATACCCAGCCGTGAAATCCTAGCTCCACCACTGCTCTCGGTGCTCCTCTCTGGGTGGCTCTGCTCTCGGTGCATAGCTCGGTGTTGTTGCTTGAGAACTCTATTCTCCTCTTGTTTTCGTCTGATTTTGTCCTCCACCTCTATAGGATCCGACCTCCCCTTATAAACTGAGGTAGGTCGAGTACAATGCGATTTGGGGGTTTAGTCTATGGTCTACATGCGCCGGACTTTAGGAGGGAGCTGCTGCGGCGTGAATGGACCTCGGCGTTGTCGTGGAGTCGGAGGAGCCTTGGACATAGTTTGGCTGCTCTGTTCTGACGCTCTGACCGTCAGGGCTTGTTGGCTTGGACCAGCCTCTATCTAGTGAGTCTTCGAGAGGCTTCCTTGCTGGTGAAGGCGTCCAGCTTGAGGGGCCAACGAGTGGGCCTAGAGCCGGTGGAGGTATTTGTCCTTTGTGTCACGCTGTGTGCGTGACTTTGTTAGAGGAGTGGGCGACAGTGCCGCGCCTGCATTGGCTGGGGCAGCGTTAAGGAGCCTCTTAGCCCTGGACGCTCGGGGCGCTGGATTCCAGCCTGGCCCTTGGATCGGACTGGAGGCGGAGCCGAGGATTAGGTCTAGCGGCCGTCGATCGAGAGCCTAGAGCTTGGGTGGGCCCCTGAATCCCGAGCAGAGGCCGAGGGCCGGTGTGCTGAGGTTTCTCCCGATCCTTGGGCAGAAGGTGCGCGCGAGCGTACCTGAGGGGTATAGCCCCTGAACGATTCTGGGGGATCGGTTGGGGTCCTTCGATCGGGAAACTCTCACCCCAAGATTTAATATATCCATATGTTTGAATCTCGTCACTGACCTAGAAGATATTTTAGTTTATATATTAGAAAAGACAAATTATTTATTTCTGAGAAGTTGTCATGGCCCGGCGTCCAGCTGCCTATGTGGCATGGCCACGTCAGATGTTGTTGCTGGCGTGGCGGACTTTGGACCATTGGTGTGCAACGGCAGTAGATTAGGAGCTCAGATGGTCGGTTTGTTAGTTTCAGGACCCAGATGAAAATGCTCTAAAAGTTTGAGGACCCAATGTGCATTTTACTCTATTAGAAAATATATGTCCACGTGTTTCTATGGGTGAAAGACAAATTAATTTGTTATAATACACATATTTTTAGGTATTTTTGTAATGAACATTAATGAGTTTATTTTATACGGGATTTTTGTTTGTTATACCATACTTTTGCACACATTCTTGAAATATGGAATAGAATCATCACATTCTTCCTCGCTCCTAAACCAAACGCACCTTAAGGTTAACCCATATTCCCTAAAGATTGTGACTACGAAATGCAAAAACACATCAGTCAGGGTTCTCCTTTTCCGCTCTAAACTGACGAGGTCCGTCTCCATGCTAAAGATTCTCATCACTTACACTTCCTCAGGATTCCATTCAGTGCAGCGCCCAATTGTGTGAACACTCTTAAATGTCTTTTATTCTAGATGCTCCATATTGCGAACAAAATGAGTGCCCTTGTTGCCTTAATTTCGTTTTGCTTCGCAAGCTATGTCTGCGGTGAGAAACATTTCATCCCTGGCCACGTCCCACTCCACAATTTTTATTGACTAAATACACATATGGAGCGAGCAGCTTTTCCACTTTAAAATAGTACGAAGAAGGTAAACGGAACAAATTTCTTCGGCTACAGACTCCTTGCAGCATCTGTGTTTTGGGTGACGGTACACCGAAGCGTCCAGTGTCCGAGATATATTTCGATGCCAAACTGCAACGAGCAGGCCTTAAAAGAGTTAAAGAGATCCCCGGAAGAAAGCACGGAAAAAAGTTAAAGAGATAAGGACACTAACCAGATGCCGAACTGCAATAATGAGAGCGATAAGGACACTAACCAGCCGGTATAACGTTTCATGCAATTGGGGAAAGTAACACGCGCACTCGATGATATTCATGGAGTGCTAAGAGCAGTTCCGCCAACAGACCGCTTAACAGCTGTGCATGCATTCATGATGCATCTATGCTTTCGTAAACCGCTGTGCACAAAGGCCCGTAAAACCGAACAATCAAGTGTTGTAGCAAGCCAAGAAACAAGCTCCAGCTGGAGTGTGAGTGTGTGATGGTGACGGGTGCATCCGAGAGAAGTTACTGAAACAGAGAAAAGGGTTCGCCTATATAAAATCTGAATCTAAATAAGGGAAAACCACATGGACGTTAGTCAGAAACCAAGAAGACTGCAGCAGACTCTGCAATCCATGGATCAATCCATTAAGCTTTCGAAGAAACCTGACCTGGCGTATCACATCGGAGACGCGTTTCAAGCCAATGAACTAACACCAGTCCCGTAACCGTCGTTGTCGTGGAGATGAGTTGCTGAAACTGAAACGCAACAAGGGCCAAGGGGGCTCAAGGGTCGGCATCTATCACGCTCACTTGAGATGAGCCCCCCCCAACCACGTGCGTGGAAGTTACTCTCATACCACAACAAGAAGGTAATGCACAGGATGTCTTTCGTGTATGTACCTGCAAATTCACGAGGTGCGAGAAACACCAGAGCCTCGTCCCAGCGTTGCATCTGATGTAATGTTCAGTTCAGTTTTGCAGAGTTAACATTTTACACATAAACAGCACGCTTACCCAATCATATACTAGTAAACATACAAAATGAGGACGCCAATTATTTGGATGTACAGCAATGGCGTCAACGAGGGGATCTCTGAGTTCCATGCAGGGGGATGTTTTGACCCAGCAGTTTGTTTTTCTGCCTGGATCTCACATCAGAGGCCCAGATTTTGGGTAGGGGAACGAACAGCTCCCAATCTTCTCGTCATGGAAATGTGTGGCCAGGTTGACCGAGGGGTTATTGGAGCTCAGGGAGTTTGCCATGTCCATGGAGTCACCGAACGGGTCGAAGAAGTCGGAGTACCTCACGTTCGCTACTGGTATCTCTGGCAGGGAGTTCAGTATGCCGTCGAATATCTCATCAGCTTGTGGCACGATTGCGAGCATATCAGCTTCTGCAGCAACGGGGCCTGCAAAGTCATGGAATGCTTGTGGAGCTGGCAGTGCGGCAGAGATGTGCATATGTTCATGGACTTGGGGCACAGTGGCAGTCTGTTCATCTCCTGCCTTCTTTGCTCCTATGACCTTCATCAAATACACAGTACACAGTAATAAGCACCTACTGCAGCATGACAAAAAAATATGCAGCTTTGTTAAATGCTAATGAGGAAACTGAGTGAGTACAAAGCGGTTGTTCTCGTCGTCTTTGTATATCACAATGAAGTCTCCTTGCTGAAGGTCATGAGCTTTTACATAATCTCCTGAAATGTTTAAAGAGGTTCAGAAAAACATAAGAGAACTGGCCTAAAATACTGCTCCCTTCGTTCATTAATGTAAGGTGTATTTTGGTAAGAAGAAGGTTTTGGCATTTAATTTATTTTATGATATAACATATTGGCAATTGCTGCAAATTCAGCATCATATTAAAAGCACTTTGAAGCATGAATCTAAACAG